CAGATGATACGTAGTAATTAGCAGCTTGTATTCAAGTAAACAGGTTACCGCGCACCAATTTCGAGCCCGCTCGGAAAATCGCGATGCGGGTCGGGCAAACCAGCCCAAACTCTTCACAGGGTCTTTGCTAGGTCTAATCTATCACGAAACGCGCGTACCTCGAAATTTTTTTTTTCGGTGAGATGGCCTAGCGCGCGCACACACACACACACAGACACACACACGGACACACACGGGTGGGGGGAGGGGGGGCGCAGTGCTGACCACACCAGAACATATGCAAAAACGTTTCTGTGAACAAGCATAAGCCGTCCGTCCCGCCCGGGCTGTGGTCGCGCCACTGCATCAGTGGAGCGTCATTATAACACACCCCGGGTCATGGGAGGAGAGGATAGCAGCGGGAGAATCTTAATGTCCTCGTAAAAGAAGGCGAAAGGGGCCTGGAGTCGTCGTGGGGCCACGGGCCCGAGACGCAAACCGCACTTGAAATTCCAGTGTGGGGCCTGCAGCACGGGGCAGCAGCAAAAGGCTAGTAGTACGTTGTGAAAAAAAAATGAACAAAAAAAAATTACGTGCAAAATGCGTGCGTATAGTGACCAACTATGGGACGCTCTGTTTACCTTTACCTAGAAATTGTCACTGCCGGTCACACCACACTAAAATAAAAATTTACATTATTTTCTGCATGGCAACGTGTGTTTGCGAGTACATCGGGTTACAAGTTACATCGGGTTACACTCTGAGCTCGCCTCGCGGATTTGAAAAGACCACCGCAAAGAATGAGGAAAATTCCCACATTTTTTTTCAGGACACTTTCTCGAAATCTGAGGAGCTTTCCCCAGAGTTGTCCCTTTTCCCGTAAAAGATGAGTCATTGTTTTTACCGTGTGTAAAGGCACAACTCAGATCATTATTTTATGCGATACTAAAATTTCAACATCAACAATGGTGTGTGCACGTGTGTAACAAGTGAGGGTTTTAAATTTGGACCGAATTACCAACGTGGGTGGGCGTTTGTCACTCCGGGTGGGGGTAGGCGGGATGGAGGGGGGGGGGGGGCCGGAGCGCTCCTCTGGGCGTCCGCTCAGTCTGCGCCCGTTCTTGCCCCGCTCCGGTCCACGGCGCGGTCCGCCCTCGCACCCCCCCGGCGGCAGCCCCGAGCGTGCCCATGCACGTCTAGTGCACGCCGCCGGCGAGCAGGCTAGCTCTTGGACAGCAGCTTGTGTCACGCCAGAACGAATTGCCGGAATAATAATAACTGTAAGAAAACAAGGACAGCAACAACAAGCAAAAGTATCTGGGAGGGGCTGCGAAGTTTTTTGGAAGAGAAGTCTGTTTTGACGTCAAGTGGGGGAGGTGTGGTGCATAGCACCCCACGATCTCAAAGATGGAGGCGGACGACCGTCTTGACGCCGGCCAGCGCAGCACCGGCGGGCCTACCGTCCCCATCGCCCCCTCCGGAACCCCGCCCCGGCGGCCCGCATCGCGGCACCAGCGGTACTGAGGTGAGAGTAAACAGGGTGTCTCTGGGTAAACCGCGAGGCACATTGAGAAAAAAATTTCTCCCCTAGGACAAGACAGTCGTCGTATATTGTAGCACTACACATTTTGTTCCCTCGATCAGAAACTTTGGTGAGAGGCAGTGAACATGTGAGGTCAGGCAATAAAACTTTTGTCCTTGGAGCAAAAATTGTTTCGTGCGTCAAAATCTTTCGATCTGGGGACAAAAAGTCCAGTACCTAGGGCCAAAAAAATTTGTCAGTGCACGACAACTGTATCAATTCGGGGGTAATCCGAGGTAATCTGGGATTATTGTGGGGTTTGATCCAGGGGGTGATTCGTGGGTGATCTGGGCGCGATTCTGGGGTAATCCGGGGGTAATTCGGTAGTAATCTAGGGGAAATGTGGGTTGTGGTCCGGGCAAATCCAAGAGGTGCAATCCACGGTGCAGCCAATAATATTAGACAGTGAATAGAAGTCGTTTGTTTCGAGATGAAGATGATTGTGGTGTTGTGTCGCGAGGCATCCGCATGGAATTAAAGGACAGAATCTCGCCAGCCAGACAATGCTGGCTAATAGGGCGGCGAGGCGCGAGAGCGCGCTAGGCGCTAGAGTCGCTGCTTTCTGTTTATCAAGAGATCGTATCCTTATTCATTCGCAGTCCGTCCGTCCGTCCGTCCGTCCGTCCGTCCGTCCATCTGTCTGTCTGTCCGTCCATCCGAGCATCGATTTTAAACACACGTAGTTCTGAGGCCTTCAGCAAGACTCACGCACTTCTTGGTCAAAAAGATAAGAACTACGTGAGTCTTATGCCGAAGGCCTCAGAACTACGTGTGTTTGAAGTCAGTGCTCGGAACTACGTCAGTCTTCCCCCGGGTCGTAGAAGTACGTGTCTTTGCGTTGTAGGCGTTGTAGGTTTGTCTATTTCGGCATACTGTAAACTAGTTCGTGTCAACGATACAACGCCATATACATATTAACGTTAGTCTTCTTATAATATTTTTGGTGCCATTGGATTGGATGCATACATCAGGGGTCTTTTTTTCCATTTGGCCACTTTAAGAGACATGCCCGGTACCTCAACTACAGTTGAGTTATAACTCATATTAACATTTGTTTGAGGTCTCGCTTCACTGTGAAAAATATCTCCGTGAATTTACGATATATTTTGTTTACAAAATATGTCGTCAATTTACGACGGACCATTATTCCTAGTTCGTTGTTGAATTTCAAGTCGAGAAGCGATTCATACAGATTGTAATTTTACCATTTTAAAATGAAGTTTTACGAATACACTATTCATGAAAATTTTTCCCGTAAAACCTACAACAACGATCTTTCACTATGTTTACCGGCCTTCTTTTAGAATTAGAGAGACCATCATCGCCATGTGCCAGACCACCTGAAGGGACACACTTCAGCGTTGTTTTTTCTTTCGCAGATTTTTTGTAATTTTCAAAGGCGCAAATCCGGCTGTCAAAGTGCAGCGAAGACGCTTCGTAATTTTAAGTAACAGGAAATGTTTGAATTAAAGAAGAAATCTTAACAAGTTACCACTCGAGGGTCCGCGATGCTGACGTGTTTCTTCTTCCACCTAATCCATCTCTCTATCTCTCTCTCTCTCACTCACACACACACACACACACACACACACACACACATGCACACACTGGTGCTGCAAGCCAGCCGAGTGCCGAAAAACCCTCTCTTCACTTGAGAACGACTACAGCCTGTCTACTCACCGGCTCGGCTTAGGTAGCCCCGCCCCGCCCCTCTAAGTGAGTCTGAAAAGCCCCGTCGTGGTATCCCACGTGGAAAACCGCCTCGCACAAAAAGCAGGGAGGACGCGCCTCGCTCCTTCATATCCGTTTCCGAGTGGGTCGAGAACAGAAGCAGCACCTTTAAAAATAAATCCTTTTCTACTTTCTTCCCTTTCAGCTCATTTGCTTGAGCCGATGTCTTTCGCCTTTCTGACCCTCCCCCCTTTCCCCAATAATCCACCGACCGCCCGACCGCTGACCCGCTCTCAAGTTCGAGGGTGGAACAATTTTTTATGACCTTTGTTAAAGAGCTTGGAGACCGCCAATAGCAGGGCTTTCCGTAAGCCATGATAAATGTGCCACACTGGAAAAATATGACTTCCACCCGAAGACCGGGGGAGGGGGGGGGGGGGGAGAAAGGAATCCAACATGAACTCGGGAACAACCTCAAGGCTGGGCCAAAGAAAGGAAACCACCCACCTTATCCCATCTTTAAAGAACAAACAACTATTTGAATCTCGCGCGGCCAGGATCGTCTCAGCCTGTGGCGCGCAGGGTATGCAGCACGCCCGGCGCGCTCGTCGGGCGGGCGAGGCTAACCCGCGGCCACGAGGCGCTCAGCAGGACCCAGTGTGTGGCCACTAATTTATGTCATTATTCAAATGTCGCACACAACTGTGACGTTTTTTTGTTGTTGTTTTTTTTACACACCTGCAGATGTGTGAATGAGCATTTACAAACTTGACAAAGGGTATAATGGCAACCTTGTAAGGTGCGCAAAATCTCTTTTGGTTATTTTTCTTTCTTTTTTGGTCTCACGCATACCTGCAGTTCAACGAACGGAAATTCGCGCTTTTAAATAAAAAAAACAACACCCATTTCCAAATTTGTAAATAATCATTCAAACGCCTATAGAGGTGTGTAAAAATGCCTTCGCGGTAGTGTAAACAGTTTGTCCCACTATTGCAGGTGTGTGGCTTTTTCCCACGCCGTGTTTTGTGTTTCTTGACCCAGGGTGCAAGTGTGAGCGTGGCTGTGGAGCTCTTGCCAATCGCTCGCGGAGAGCTTGTTGCTGTTGCTGGCTCCATGGCGTCCCTATATGATGGCGGTGACGAACATTTACGTTGATGATGAAGACGACGACAACGACGACGATGACGCGGGGTATTTGCCGAGTACTCGCTTGAGTAATGTGTATGTGCGTCTCATCGTGCCATTATTGCATTCGCATTGTATGGCTCCGGCGGCGGTGGCTCCAGGAGGAGGAGGGGAGAGTTCTCCGCGTTCGTTTGTCGCTGCTCGGGGGTTGTTAATGACCGTGCCTATGGAAGCGCCTGGTGTATGTGCGCAGCAGGGGTTGTTGTGGGCGCGAGGGTGGTCCCTACCCCCTCCCCCC